CGAATTGGTGTGGGTTTTCTTTGGGTGCTCCGGTTTCCCCAGTTCAAAGACATGCATTCATTCATTCATCTTCTTTTTAGCTCAATCCATTTATTAATGAATGAACCGCCAACTTATCCAGCACGTTTTACACAGCAGATACCATCTCAGGGAAACATCCATACATACTCATTCACACTCATACACTACGGACAATTTAGCCTACCCAATTCACCTGTACCGCATGTCTTTGGACTGTGGGGGAAACCGGAGCACCCTGGGAAACCCACTCAAACACAGGGAGAACATTCAAACTCCACACAGAAACGCCAACTGACCCAGTCGAGGCTCGAACCAGCGACCTTCTTGCTGTGAGGTGACAGCACTAGCTACTGCACCACTGCGTCGCCTGTCAAAGACATGCAGTATAGATAAATTAGCTAGATTGGCCGTAGTGTATATGTGTGAATGCAAGTGTGTATGGGTGTTTCCAGTGCTGGGTTGCAGCTGAAAGGGCATCCGCTGCATAAAACATTGGAACATAAGTGCATAAGTTGGCGGTTCATACCTCTGTGGCAACTCCTGATAAAAAAGGTACTAAGCCGAATAGAAAATGAATGAAAGTTTTGGAAACTTCACAGGCTGATGACACCTGCTGGTCGAAACTATGTAAATGGAACAAAAACTCAAGCCAAACTGTTTTTACAAACCCACTGCAAATATTGTAATCTTGTAACTGCAATTGGCTCATCATTTAATGCCAATACATTCTGAATTAAATAAATAATGTACCATGTTTATTTAACTGGAGCAGGGGTGCCCACACTTTTTCAGCAAGCAAGCTACTTATAAAGTGACCAAGTCAAAATGATTAAAATTACTAAATGACTAAAGGATCTAGCTACAGTATATAGTAATGTACACTTGCATAATTGTATGAACCCAAATTGTGCAATAGCCTACAACTCTGTACATATTTTTGTCGTTACCTTACCATAACCTTGATGACTTGCACTGAAAGGAATCAGCCAGGGAAACATGAAAGATTTAACCAAATTTAACCAATCACTTTAATGGCAGTCCTTCTCTGATGACGTCAGTTTGACGGTTTGGGTGAAATATATACTGTAGCCATGCCACTCCAACCATTAGTTTGCTACCAGAGAAAGATGAGAGGAGGAGCACAAAAATAAAACCACATCCACTACCTAGTATTCTGTTTCTTTCTGAAATAACAGTTTGAAGCAACTTCTGTTTTACTCAGACTTTAAGTTTTAAATTTCTGCATAATTTACATTCAGGGCTTGTTATTAGGGGAGTCTGATCTAAATAGGCCAGTATATTGACCATTAGCTGCTTTTATTTGTTTTAATTATATACAGTTGAAGTCAGAAATGTTTGCTCCCCTGAATTATTAGCCCCCCTGTTTATTTTTATCCTCAATAAATATTTAACAGAGAGATTTTTTAAACACATTTATAAACATAATAATTTTAATAACTCATTTCTAATAACTGATTTATTTTATCTTTGGCATGATGACAGTAAAAAATATTTGACTAGATATTTTTCAAGACACTTACAGCCTAAAGTGACATTTAAAGGCTTAATTAGGTTAACTAGGCAGGTTAGGATAATTAGGCAAGTTTTTGTATAACAGTGGTTTGTTCTGTAGACTATCGAAAAAATATGCAGCTAAAGGGGGCTAATAATGTTGATCTTAAAATGGGTTTTAAAAAATTAAAACTGCTTTTATTTCAGCCGAAATTAAACAAATAATACTCCAGAAGAAAAAATATTATCAGACATACTGTGAAGATTTCCTTGCTCTGTTAAACATCATTTAGGAAATATTTCAAAAAGAAAAAAAAAATTCAAAGGGGGGCTAATAATTCTGACTTCAACTGTAGATGTCTTATAAAAATGGCATGAATCAACACCCTACATCAGGGGTCACCAAACCTGTTCCTGAGGGGCCGGTGTCCTGCTGATTTTAGCTCCAACCCTAATCAAACACACCTAAACAAACTAAACAAGGCCTTACTAGGTGTACTTGAAACACCCAGGCAGGTCTGTTGAGGCAAGTTGGAGCTAAACTCTGTAGGGACACGGGCCCTCCAGGACGGAGATTGGTGATCCATGCCCTACAGAGTAAAGTTTAATTTATTGTAATAATATTGTCCTTGTCAACATGTCAAACAATGCTGCTTTTGGCCCTCAAATTGGTCCTTTGGCATTTAAATTATGTTCTACCAAACCGTTTCACATTTCAGGATTTCTCACCAGTGGAAGCTGTCAAAGTTGGGCAAACTTAGAGTGCAGAGGAGTACAACAAAACAAGTTTTACAATCCTATTTGGTAAAATATTAAGAGAAAAACACTTGATAAAATGTTATCAAGACGTTATTAAGATCAGAAACATGCAAAAAAATTGTGAGACTACTAACAGTAGTCAGATAAGAGAACAATGTCAAATTTACTGCCCCACCATAGATGCTGCATTAGAAACACACTTTCTAATCCTACTCTCCAAATTTGTTGAGCCTCTGTCAATTGTAGCCTCAGTTTGCTGTTCTTATCTGACATGAGTGACACTGGTGTGGTTTTCTGCTGCTCTAACTCATCTGCTTCAAGGTTTAAAATGCTGTAATTATTGAATTACTACTTTTTATCAGCTGTAACCCGTCTGGCCATTCTACTCTGACCACTGGCCTCGATAAGATCTTTTCACACATAGAACCGCTTACTGGTCACAAGGTATTTTATCTTATCTGGACAGTTCTCTGATGGTTGTGCATAAAAATCCTAGTAGAAGGATAGTTACTGAAATACTCAGACAAGCCCATCTAGCAGCATCCATGCCAGATTCAGAGTTGATTAAATCAACGTTCTACCTCATTCAGATGCTCAGGTGAATTTCAGCAGATTGTTCTGACCATGCCTAAATCCTTTGTGTTGCTGCCAAGCGACTGGCCGATTATGTAATATCATTAATGAGAAGTTAAATACAAAAATTATAAACTAAATTTAGTTCTTGACTTGAATTAAATCTATTATTGGAGACCTTGAGAACATAATAGGGGCACTAAAAAGTTATGTTTAAATGTTTTTCCAAATAGCAGAATTAAATATCCATTGCGGGTAGAGTTGGGTGTGATTTATTTATTTCCCCTCACTGAATTGTTCAATTGTCTCTTCAGTTTAGTATGCTTGCCCTCGTCCCATCCAACACATGTCCCTTTTCTCATTCTGATGCCCTGTCACTGTGTTCAGATCAAACCCAAGACTTCTTGGTCGCTTCCACTAATGGCAATGCTAGTTTCAACAACATGTGTGATTGATGTGTTTAGGGCAACGGCATCTCACTGAATGTTCTTTTAAAATGGATATTTTCCTCTGAATAGCTTCTCAGACAGCCTCATTTCCTCATGCATAGTCTTGACCATTTCCGTTTAAAATGTGTCACCAAAACGTGCTTGTTGTCAATTCCAACCTAAACTACATAAGACATCTATATTTAGAGCCGTGTTTAATTTTTATTATTTATTTGTTTACACACACACACACACACACATATATATATATATATATATATATATATATATATATATATATATATATATATATATATATATATATATATATATAAATATATGTATATATATATATATACATACACACACACACAAGCACCGAGTTGGACCCCTTTTTGCATTCAGAACTGCCTTAATCCTTCGTAGCATAAATTCAACCAGGTACAGGAAATATTACTTTTTATGGATTAAGGTCCATATTGGCATGATAGCATCACGCTGTTGCTGCAGATTTGTCGACTGCACATCATGCGAATCATCATGCGAATGACCCTACCATCTAAATGTCATAGCAGAAATCGAGACTCATCAAACCAGGCAACGTTTTTCAATCTTCTATCGTCTAATTTTGGTGAGCCTGTGTGAATTGTAGCCTCAGTTTCTTATTCTTAGCTGACAGGACTGGCACCCGGTGTGGTCTTCTGCTGCTGTAGCTCATCCACCTCAAGGTTGGACGTGTTGTCTTCAGAGATACTCTTCTGCATACCTTGGCTGTAATAAGTGACTGCTGCTCACTAGATTTTTTATTTTTTGACCCCTCTCTGTTAACCTTGGAAATGGTTGTGTGTGAAAAACCCAGATCAGCAGTTTCTGAAATACTCAGACCAGCCTACCTGGCACCAACAACCATGCCACGTTCAAAGTCATTTAAAATCACCTTTCTTCCCTGTTCTGATGCTCGGTTTGAACTGCAGCAGATCGTCTTGACCATGTCTACATGCCTAAATGCACTGAGTTGCTGCCATGTGATTAGCTGATCAGAAATTTGAGTTAACAAGCTGTTGGACAGTTTTTTGTTTGTTTGTTTGTTTGTTTGTTTGTTTGTTTGTTTGTTTGTTTGTTTGTTTGTTTGTTTGTTTTTGTATTTTATTGTGAACTTACAGCACAAATACGGCATGCTATGTTCCTGACTTGTTTAGTCAACACTACAAACCATTTAGGAATTTTAAAATCTATTTTTGAATGCTTGTAGAACAGTTTGCAATGTAATTTACATATCTGTATAAGTAAAATTTGTACTAATTTTCTAATGACTGTGACTTACTGTGACTTAAGTGACTTACAGTTAACAGACTGTTTGAAGAAAATCATTGTTGCATATTGTTTTTATAGTGAACTTTATAGTAAATTTTATTTTTTTTTATAGTATATTTTAATGCAGTGTGTATATACCTACAGTATATGTTCCTTAATTTGTTCTATCAACTGTAAATAGTACAAATCAAATGACTCCTACAAGGTCTTTAAAATATAGCATCACAAATAACTTAAAAAAAATAACGCCAATCTTGGTTAATTTATGATGTTAAATCAATGTTAAATCATACTCTGTCGTGATTTATTGATCTCATAAAAGAATAATAAAATTGTGTATTGTTTTGCTTGTGGAGGCCCATCATTGACAGTTATGTGTGCATGGTGTCTCAGCAGATTCGCTGTTCAGCGGCCTGGGTCTGGGAGCAGTGGTCGGGCTGGGTTTAGCTGGCCTGCTGCTGCTGCTCGTGCTGGTGGATGTCAGCTGCTTCTTCCTGCGCCAGTGCGGACTGCTCATGTGCATCACCCGCAAGCTTTGCAGCAAAAAGACTGCCACAAGCGGCAAGAGCAAAGAGCTTGAGGAGGGCAAAGCTGCCTACCTGTGAGTATCCCTTCATTTTCTGCTTTTCAATCCAGAGAAATGTCTACTTAAAGGTATTAAAAATGTGTTCAGTGCTGTTTCATGCACGTACTGTGGAAGTTCATAAGTCAAATGCGTAATGAGTGGGTCTAAAAGTTTAATGCTATTGTGAGAAAAAATATATATCTGATAATTAATGTTATTCTAATATTTTACAGCCTGTGCTTAGAGCTCTTTTGTTGCATCATTGTTAGTTTTAACAGCAGGGAAAAAGCAGAGGAGAGACTTCATTAACTGATGATAATCTGTCCCATAATCACAGTTTGCATTAGAAAAGAATAAAATGATTGTCGTTCTGCTTTCTCCAGTGTTGCATATATTGTATGATTTCTCCGTGAATATAGGTCATATATTTTGGTGCATTTGAACCAAACAGATTTATTAAAAATATATATTTATCAAAATATTTTTACATCTTTAGAAACAGAAAAATAATAAATTTAAATTAAAGCTACATATTGAAAAAAATAACATATTACAATTGAATTTTATATTTAAAAAAAATGTTTCTCTTTCATTTCTTTTTTCTCTTTTTACAAATTGTAGTTAATATTTTTCCCTACCATTTTAATTTGTGTGTACTCATTTTTGGAATTTTATTGTAAGTGTGTTGTTAGATTAGCTCCTGATTTGGTTTAGTACTGACTAAACTAATGTATATGCACAAATATATATTGTAAAGCATCCTATTAAAAATATGTATTTAACATGATGTGGGGTGTACTCATACACCACCAGACAAAAGTATTTTGCCTATTCAAGTTTTAGGAACAACAAATAATCACTTGACTTAGAGTTGGTCATTTGCCATCAGAAGTGGCTTATATATAAGGCAAAGGCCTCTAGATTACATTTAATTTACCAAAATAAAATATGATCATGCCTTGTTTTTTTATTATTTAATTAAGACATAAAGGCCTGACTTTGTTTAGACAAAAGTCTTGTCACTTAACAAAAATATTGTACAGTATAGAATATAATGTCATGGAGCAGTGGAAAAATAATTAATATTGTGTATGACTCCCATGAGCTTGGAGGACTGCATCCATACATTTCTGCAATGACTCAAATAACTTATTAATAAAGTCATCTGGAATGGCAAAGAAATCGTTCTCAGAGTTCATCAAGATTCTTTAGATTCATCTTCAATGCCTCCTCAATTACCTTACTCCAGACATGCTCAATAATGTTCATGTCTGGTGACTGGGCTGGCCAATCCTGGAGCACATTGACCTTCTTTGCTTTCAGGATCTTTGATTTGGAGGCTGAAGTATGAGAAGGAGTGCTATCCTCCTAAAGAATTTGCCCTCTCCTGTGGTTTGTAATGAGATGGGCAGCACAAATGTCTTGATACCTCAGGCTGTTGATGTTGCCATACACTCTGCAGATCTCTCGCACACCCCATACTGAATGTAACTCCAAACCATGATTTTTCCTTCACCAAACTTGACTGATTTCTGTCAGAATCTTGGGTCCCTGCGGGTTCCAATAGGTATTCTGCAGCATTTGTGATGATTGAGATGCAGTTCGATTCATTGGAAAAATCTACCTTTTGCCACTTTTCTAAATGTCAAGTCAAGTTATTATTTGTTGCTCTTACAACTGGGACCAACGACAAGACTTTTGTCAGATAGTGGATATGCTGAGCATTATATATATATATATATATATATATATATATATATATATATATTATAACAAATTTCCACTGAAGTAAATTGTAGTCAGAATACAAAACTAATTTTCATAAGACACGGCACTGTTATTTAATATTATTTTTTATTTTATTTTATTTTTTTTTTTTTTGGATAAGTAATGCTATAATACACTACTTACTCTACATTGTATTACATTACTCCCATTCAGGCAATTTGTCATCAGTCTAGAGTAAAACATCCAGCAACACAAAGTCCTCAAGTTATCCAGCAACAGAAACAGCAGTAAATGTTTTTCTTTTATTATTACTATTATTATTTATGGAGGATGTACATCAATGGAGTGCAGTTAGTGTACAGGCTTATCAGGTTGGTTTACCGTGATGAAAACTCATTTGACTTATGCAATCTGTGTTTTTTTCCTTTGAAGAATTGTCAAGTACGTGTTTTGTCTCTGATCCGTGACCTCTCGGTTCCTGACATAGTTCTTATGTAGACTTTGTCCTCGGATTTGCAGTGTGACTGATCTAAAGTTATGCATTTGATAGTGCTGAAAAACTGTCAGGTCCTGTCAGGTTTACTTGGCTAAAAGTACAAAGAGATTAAGGGGCTGTGTTTATCTTCAGCTCTGATAACACGCAGCATGGCTTTTGATATTCTGGCACATAAGCTATGGTGTTGATCTGACATTTGGTCCATAATTTTTCAAAGCCCTTGTCTAGAGTTTTATATTGTTATAATGGAGATGATGATGAACAGAGGCTGGTTCATATTTAATGTCATCCCATATGATGAAGAGCCACACAGGGGTCTTTAGAATAATGCACAGATGTGACTGAGCCTGATGTTCACTACGTGACCAAAGAGTCACATAAATATAAACTGAAAAATATACATTTATAAATCTAGAGTGACATTAAAGATAGCACAAAAAATGTGTGTATTTATAATGATGTAATTTGTGTGAAACTGAAAAGAGCTTGATTTTATCCTTTGGGAACTGTTTGGTTTGGATTGTTGCAAGCAGAATTCTCTATTGACATGTGGTGGTTGTTCTGCAGTCAAAGAGTATCTTCAAGAAGTAAATGAGTCTGCAAATCTAAGACAAGTTTAAAACAAGTCTAAAATGAGTCTGATTTGGTCTTGAATAAATCCTGAGGTTTTATCTGCCCTGGACAGTATAAAAGTATCACCCACAGACAAGAGAACAGTCATTGGGATCTTGCCATTAGCATTTGCATCACTTTGGCTCAGCCACTGCTCAGGAAGCAAAAAGTTAAATGTCCCTCACGCCTGGGAGTTTTGAATTAAATTATATAAATAAAAACCAAAGAAAATACAGTAACTTTTCAGTTATATATATACTAGTGTTCATTTGGAATTGGAACTGGATTGTATACATTTTTATTTCTACAAGAATTGAATAAGGAATGTGAAAAATTTGTGACAAACACTGTTGCAAACACTGATCATTGGTTTGTTAAATGGTTAGTTCACTATAAATTGAAAATGACAATAAGTATTTACTGTCATATGACTGAAGTAGTCTGCTTTATTTTTTCACAATTATTGTAGATGTTTTAAGACTGTAAAACCACTCACTACACAATTTTCTCAGATAGGTATAACAATTTTCACGCTTTTTTTTTTCTTGTTTAAACACTTGTGTAACTTTTACCTTCCTTTAGCATGTCCACAAGTCCAACTTTTTGTGTGATGGTTAGCATCTTCCTCTGTCTTTTGTGTGCTACCGTGAGTGCCTTTGAAGGTGCAGAATCTTTCGTCGACATTATGGGGTTGAAAACTTGCAAACATACAGTACAGTACTTCTGAGTCACACTGCATAGCGATCAAAGATTTATGTCAGTTTGGCAAGCTGAAGGTATTCTGTACTGTACAGGAGACATTGGACAGAGAAGATTGATTGGCAATGGTCTAAAGCCAATCAGGATGCAGAATTCAATGTGTTAATCAGGACACAGAATGAAATGCACTGAAAAGAAAAAGGAAAAAAGCATTTTAAATTACACAAAAAAATCAGCAAAACTGCGAGACTGCGAAAGGTGAACTGCGTTATGGTGAGGGACCACTGTGTTAAGATATTATGTTCCATTTAGATCATTTGTAAATTTCCTACTGTAAATATAATTTAAAAACTTAATTTTGATTAGTAGCTTCCATCGGTATCACTTTAAAGGCAATTTTAACTATTTTGTTTTTGTTTTTTGTTTTTTTTGGAACCTATAGATTGCAGATTGTTTACTAGTTTTATCTCAGCTGAATATTGTCCTATCCCAATAAAACAAAAACAAAAAATATTAATTCAGTTAATTCAGGTGATGTAAAATCTCAATTTTGGAAAATGTACACTTGTTCACTACACTAATGCCAGATTAGCCAAAATATATCCAAATAGCAGTAATACTTGAAATCTCCAGCAGATCACACACACACACACACACAAACACACACATACACACACTTTTTGGTCTTTTCCAAACTTGAAAGTGTTTTAGTCTAAAATATATATTTCACTTTTGAAAAAACCTTTAACATTTTAGCCACTCAAACAGCACTATTCGGAATTCCCTTTGGGCCAAATTTGCCTTCAACAACACTGAACGTTATTGCTTTTACCACATTATTGGCAGGGGGCTTATTCTCCTTAAGAAGAAACAAACATCTCCTTCATATGATAGATGGATAAAATAAATTTTGTGTGTTTAATGTTGGAAAAAAATAGGTTTTCATTGAGAGGGTCTCTAAAATCTTTTTACAAAACATGGAAACCTTTGTTGAATTATATTGCCACTGATGATCTTGAAGCAGGAGAGGAATAAAGATTTTTTTATTATTTATTTATTAGTTTTATTGTTAGTTTTTTCATTTATTTATTTATTTATTTATTTTACACTAACTGTGTTATTTAATATCCATATTGTTTTTTTTTATGGTCAAAGGTTCTTATTTGTAAAAAAGCAGAACAATTTATAATTGTTTTTGTTTGTATATGATATTGTATCTGCACAAAATGTTAATAAATATATTTGGCAAAAAAATAAATACAAGGTTTCTGCCAAATGTGTCAAATTAATGTAAATGTAATCAAATAAAAGAAACAATAGTGAACATGATTTTTCTTTTTAAAACACTTTACCAACCTCAACATTGTGAATGTCAAGCAAAGCCGCTTTATCTAGCTTCTTAACATCACATAAGATTTCTAATATCAATCATTGAAGCAAACTGAGACTCTGATCTGCAAAGTTCCTTAATGTCAATTTCAGCCTCAGTGGAACTACAATGTCCAGCTGTTAATTGAAAATGTATTTTTAAGCACCCTGTCAAACTGACCACTGTGCTTCTGCCATTTCTACTCTTCCCACAGGAAATTACCTCTAAAAGAGGAAAACGGCAAGGAGACTTTGAAACCGGACACGATCGAGATCAAACTTCATGGTGACAACAGCCTACACATGACACAGGAGGACAGCAAAGCGTAATGGAGGCCCTGCGACCCTCTAAAAGAACATGCAAAGTGAGCCACCCGGAGACCAATAGCAAGCAAACAAACGAGAATACAAGCAAGAACACGCCAACCAATTGTAAGATCCTTTGTTAGAGACTCCTTGTCGGGGTGTCAGAAGAGGCCATGCGAAAACTGCTTTTGTGAAACATTTTTCGAAGGTTGCCGCTCAACAGACAGGCTCCTGTTTATTTGTGCTTGTTCTCGCTTGTTTTCAGTCTTTAGTTTCTTCCTTTAAGGCTTTGCTGTTGCTTTGAGTCTTTGTTATTTGAAGAGGTTTGATCTACGCGGACAAGCGTCACAATTTTTCTCTCGCTCTCATTCAGTCTTTCTCTGGAATCCGGCCGTTGCACTTTTTTCCAGTGTGGTTGCGCAAACACGTCGCTTTTTAATACATCATTTCACTCGAGATTAAACGCGTGGAAACTCCCCACCTCTGTTTGCAGTCCGTGTTGTGTTTTGGGTGACTGTTTGAGTAATGTGTTTGGGTTTTTTGTTTTTTTTTAAAGCCTTTTTGCCACTGTGTGTCTCACCCAAATGTGAAGAATTTTTCGAATGCTCAATAGCAAAGCGAGGATCAACCACGCTTGACCCCAGACTGAGTATGTGGTGGTCCCGGTAACTCTTCGGATTGAACAATGAATAGATTACAAGTGTTTTTGTGGATGAAAATATGTCCTCGTTTTCAACACTTTTGTTTCATCACTCAAAGGAGCCCCAATTGTGTCATGGATTCATTGTTAAGATATTTCGGAAACAAAAGAGAACAAAAAAAAAGTGCTTTTCTTTTCAAAGCGTCCGAGGAAAGTAGAGGTTGCCAAGTCTTGCAATAAAATAAAGATTAGGAAAATATAAAGAAGAAAAAAAAAAGATTTTCCAGTGCACAGATGTAAATATAATTGTTATTTCTTTGGAGCATTTCACAAAAGAAAAAAATAAATATGATTCACTACAAATTCTGTCATATTACTGATAAGTTATTAATATTGGCAATCTTTAAAAGGTTCATTTAAAGAACTCATCAAGAGCTAAAGAAGGGCATGTGCCCAGGAATGTGGGTTTATATGCATCACAGACGTATTAGCTGTTTTGGTTATGAAATCCATGCTATTTTCGGATGGGGTTTGGTTAAAAGAGATCAGAGGTCTATACGTGATCAGGATCTTAGTGTTGCAATAAAAAAAGGATGGTAATGGCATACTTAGCTGCATGCTCATTTTACCAATCAGAGTTTGAAATAAAGGAGTCTTGATATCCATCTCTATGTTCAACATAATGACTTTGGTTTGGGCCAACAAATTTCCATAAATATATATTTTTTTGCATTATAGTTCATAAACACCATGCTCTCCTCCACGTTCAGCGCAATAGAACTTTGTGGAATGTTGCCCATTTATTTCCAGCAGTCAAAAGGGAGCACACCATAAGCCCAACTGTACTTGTGGAATTCTTGTAAACCAGTGTAATTTTTCTTCTGTAAATAAAAGTGTCCCAATTTAAACCTGTAAGCCATTTGGAGTCTGTTTTTTAAACCATAGCACATATTTCTATTACTCATCACTCGTCTGTGACAGCAACAAGCCAGGCTGTGTTCCAAAACCTAGCAAGCTGCCCAGCAGGTGCACAACATTATAAGGCGTTATTAATATTAGGTTAGATTTAGGTTGTGACGTCAGGGGACCAAAATTCAGTGTCTAGCCAGTGTCTAAGGACAATGTTATTTTGATGTCCAATAATGATGTCAAATGACGTTGATATTTGGTTAATTTTAGGTTGGATTGGAAAGTGACCAAAATCCAACTTTGAGCCAACATCTTAAGTCAAAGTCACACTGACATCAAATACTGACATTTATTCATCAGGTATGGCGATTAAAATCCAAAGTCATAGTGGTAATGTCCAGACAATGTCAAGCTGTGACATTATTACATTTTAATATTTGGTTGATTTTAGGTTGTGTTGGAAAGTCACCACAATCCAGCATTGAGCCAACATCTTACCAACGTCATATTGATGTCAAATACTGACTACTCATTAGACGTCAACATATGTATGATTTTAGGTTGGATGTTGACATTGACGACAAAATTCGTCAAATTGATTGACAAAATGCTACGTCCCCACAATCTTGAGGTACATTGTCAATCTGATGCCTGCTGGGTGCCTACAGATGCATCATAAATAAAAAGGCTATTTCAAAAATTGGCAGCAGAAAGCAGACTTAAAAAAAATCTATGAATCTTTTATAGAATATGCAGGCAATAAACAGTTCATTATTGCAAACTTAGTCCAAAATGCTTTTCAAAAATCCTTGTAAAATGTTGTTGTTCTTTTAAATGTTTTAAATTGAATCCATTTAATATATAATATTTAGATATTAAAGTTGCGTCTGTGGAACATGATGAATGTATTTTATAGGTTAAATTAACATAAAAACAAATTTTGTCCAGGATTAAAAATCTTTGATTAAGTCTGAAAGCTTAACTAAGAAATAATGTTCTTATTAGAAAATTTTGAAGACACTTCATCAGTAAAATCAGTTTTCATCAGTAAATAAAACTGAAATTTTTACTCAAAAGATATATTAATGGCAAATTCAGGGAAATGATAATCTTAATGTGATCTCTTATTTTTTTACAGAGCTGTAATATTGTAGTATTTTTTTTTTTCATTTTACATTTTCAATACAAAGTTGTATTATTTTTATTTATTTGAATATTTTAGTTATAGCATTCATTTATTTTTAGATTTGTTTCATTTCCCTTTTAGTTTTATCAAATTTAACACTTTAAATTATTTCAAATAGTTGCCATAGCCAGATTTTTTTTTATTATTTAAAAATATTTTTAAAGTGTATAGTTTTCTTCTAAAAATTATATTTCAATTTCTGACCAATAAGGGCATATCATTGTCTTGCATGACACACTTAATTCATTGTGAGTCTAAATCAGTCATTATAGAAGTATTCAGTTTGGTTAGCAGAATTTAAACTTTCTATGTGGGGGGTAGACAGCAAGAAACCTCACTAGGTTTTGAAACACAGCCAATGAATATGTGGGGAATCACTGTACTGTCGTTGAGATTCAATGGTCCTTAAAGGTTCTTGTCCTTGTCCTGGAGCCGGTGACCTGTGAAAATCTGTTGCCTGCGCTCGTTGGAAAGAAACCATCCATGTTTCCTTCGGGGGTCCTGCTGTGTCCTGCACCTTCAAGTGTAAGTACTGGAGCTGTAGTTCACACTCACCTGGGCATTAGTGTCCTTGGCCTCAACTATACGCTGAACACACTTGGGCTGTAATCAGGGTGAACGCAGCAGATTATGACTGCCCAACTGCGCTTGCCTAAACAATTCACTCAACCCTCTCAGGTTTTCCTAAATGGGTCTGAAATGATAAATGAGCAGATAAAATAAAGTTCAGCCCTGAGCATTTTTAAATTCAGTCAACTTTATGCACACGCATTTGACATTTATGGTTAACAGGGGACAAGGGCTTACCTTTTTTTACTAGCCCCAAGGATCTGATAGTCAATTCAAAAGCTAGTTCAACTCACATCACGTCAAATGCTCTATTGGGAGACTTGGTAGATTACAGGTTCCCCACAGACAAGATCTGTGTGTGGCATTTGGCAAGGTGTTCCGAACATAAGCCCTGTCTTTGTTTGGTATTAAGATGCATTTTGGAATTTAGATTTCTCTGAGGGATGGATCTATGGGCACCTTGATTTATGAGATTTTTCTGATCTTTCATTTTATTTAATGATGCAAAATAAGATTAAATGTGAAGAAAACTGAAAAAGATACAGCAAGCGTGTTCGTTTCTGCTCTAACACTACATATTTGCAAGAAACAGACCATTTTTTAGTTATTATTTTACTTCAAATCAAGCCATTACAGACTAATGTGCTTTATTAACATGGGGATTGAGGAATAGATTAGTAGGCTGAGAAGAGAAAGCAGACGACCAAACTGAAACTCTTAATACAGGTGTAGTATAAGCTTAGCAAATGGTAGCTAGCATTGTGTACAATAAAATAAAATTAGGTTTTTATCAAGCAAACCGATCATGTAATCAATTTAAGTGCACAGGCAATAAATAGAGTCTTAGAATTACCTTAACTAATGAGAGATAGCATTGTGTATACAATAAAAGAAAGTTACGTTTTTCAACCCATACTCAAAACTGGTTCTGTGCATGTAAGCAATCTAAGTACACACATTAGGAGTAGTAAGGAGGGAGAGCACACACACATAAACACACTGTGAGCACACACCTGGAGAAGTGAGGGGAAATTAGGGGTTCAGTGCTTTCCTCAAGAGGATCTCAGTTGAGGGTATTGGAGGTGGAAAAGTTGAGTTCATTCGCTTCCCCACACTTTAAATTCCTGCTAACACTGGGAATCAAACCTGCAACCTTTAGATTACAAGTCCAACTCCCTAGGCACAATCTACAAGTGTTTTCAATAGGAATCCACATATACTAGATTATCTCTTAAAAGACAGATTTCTGCACACTACAAAAGATGATTACTGCTGCTTGTTCAAACTATGGGCTGAATTCCTTTAATTTCTTTGGCCATTTTTTTGTGTTATGTTCAGTAATTTGTACCATGTAATAATTTGTAAACCATTAAGTTAACTTAAGTGTTTTGTTTTGGGACACCAGGAAGGAGTTGTGTTGGTCCAACTACCTAGTTAGGGGATTTTTAGTTCACAGCATGCTTTGCATGGGATTGAATTAAGAGAGGGAAATGTTGACAATAAAAGTAATCTTAGGTGTTTAAAGTTAATAGAAAGACTTGTTAGAATTGATTTATACTTTATTTTAAAGATTTAGGAGATTTTTATGTAATTATTTAAAGATTACCACCTTGCAGAAGCACCCATGCTTTAGGCGTTTGCCGCTCAATTAGCAAAAATGCAGTTTGTCCCTTTGCTCAGTGAGCAATAACTGTCCTTAAATTAGCTCTGAGATCAGTCTCAATCAACTGTATATGTAACTTTTCACTCATTAATTTTCTTGTCAACTTAGTCCCTTTATTAATTCGGGGTCGCCACAGCAGAATGAACCGCCAACTTATCCAGCAAGTTTTTATGCAGCGGATGCCCTTCCAGCCGCAACCCATCTCTGGGAGATATTCCACACACATCTTCATACACTACGGACAATTTAGCCTACCCAATTCACCTGTACAGCATGTCTTTGGACTGTGGGGGAAACCGGAGCACCCGGAGGAAACCCACGCGAAGGCAGGGAGAACATGCAAACTCCACACAGAAACACCATCTGAGCAGAGGTTCGACCCAGCGACCTTCTTGCTGTGAGGCTACAGCACAACCTACTGCGCCAATGCCTCGCCCTTTATGTAACTTTTGAAATATGCTTAAAAATGGCTCTTTTAGTCCATTTAGT